AAGGGGGGGGGGGGGGGGGCGTTGGGTGGGGAGGTGGGGCGGGGAGCAGGTTCATTGGATCTAAAATGATAATCGACACTTTTGTTGTTGGGAAGTGTTTTTGTGATGGAGACTGCTGCTGTCTTACGATGGCAGAGGTATGAGTGTATCCCGGCGCTGCTGCTGCTGCTGCTCAACGACGGCCTTCCCGCGGCGGCGTTGACTCCACACCCAGTTTCGTTTTTCTCCCCCCCCCCGTCTCCCCAAAAAACAACTCCCGGGGTATTCAGGTCGTGAAGCTGCTTAAGGCTGGTGGCAACATTAACGTGGCAGCCTCCTCCCAAGGCGGCGAAGCTGCCGCCGCCGCTCTGAAACGCGCCCTCACCTTCGCGGGATTCCTTAACGTCGCTGCCAACCCGGAAGACCCTCGTGTCCTCAGCGGGGAGCGGGCGGCATGGGAGACGGGAGCATCGGCGCCGGTTCGCCTCTCGTTCGGCGCGTCGAAGAACGATTCGCGGAACGGTACCAACGGGAACGGGCCAGCGGCGGCGGCGACGGCGGCGGCCGCGAACAAGACGTGGAAGCTGGCGCTGGATGATGACGAGGATGGGGCTGGGGGTGGGGAGGATGACGATCTTATCGACGAGGACGCTCTGCTGGAGAGCTCGGCCCCCGTCAAGCGGGCGAGCGAGACGGTGAGGAGGATTGTTATTCCGTCCATCTCATCTTGGCGAAACGCTCGGCCGTTGTAGATCGAGTTGGCCGGCTTCTGTTCACCTCCGCGGATGTTGGTCGTGCCACTAGGTTAGTTGAAATGCTCGGCCGCTGTAGATCGAGTTGGCCGGCTTCTGTTTGCCTCCGTGGATGTTGGTCGTGCCACTACGTAGGTTAGTTGATAGCCTGGTGTTTTTACCCCCTCAAGATGTTGCCATGTGCAAAGACTACTCTCCGGCCGCGAGTTTGTCGCACGAGCTTTGATACAGGTGGCAGGTGATGACTTCCATCGATCTCGCGAATAAAGGTCTCTTGTACATATTCAAGTGAGCGCTTGCGCCCACACTACTATTAATAGGTACTTGAAAGAACGCCTCTCGAGGGGGAGAGATGGAGATGCATCTTCGTTTCGTTGGTTCTATCTAGCTGTTCTTGTCGTGCAACTCTTTGCTCATCTGGTAGTTGTTGTCGCCATTTGAACACTTCCCTCGCCTCTGAACTCTTACACACACATGCTCTATGTGCGTGCTCCTCCCCGTATCAGCCACTTTGACATATCTTGGGATTTAGGCGTGTGGAATGCTGACGATGGTCCGATGTCAGTTCTCGCAAGAGGTGTTGGTTGAAAATGTTTCGAAAATAACAACGAACAATTTTCCGGAAAAACAAAAACTCTCTTGGAAAGAAATGTGTCCCTGGGGGTAATCCGAGTTGGCCAGCGCTGTCTCCACAAGTGTGTCGCGCGAGCAGTTGTGGTGCGTAGGCGACAGTGACCAATGACGAACGTAGACAATCAGAGAACGTCAATCATTCACTATTCCTTACAATACCACGCTCTCCCCACTCCACATTTTACACTCTGCTTCCGCGTGCATCCCTTACAGGCCGGCGACGGCTGCGCCACCAAGCGACGAGCGTGCAAGGACTGCTCCTGCGGCCGTGCCGAGATGGAGATGAGCGGGGGGGTCAGCAACACCAACGGCGGCGCCGCGGGACCCCTACCGGTGGTGTCCGTCGGGGACGTGGATGATGCCCTCACTTCCGCCTGCGGCAACTGCTCCAAGGTTGGTTTTAACAGAAAGTTGGAAAACGTCGAAATCGCGAGGCCCAAACACGCTGTGCACTTCCAGCCTTGCTATAATCTACTACTTCCTTCGAAGGACTTCTTGTGGCGCGCCCAACCGATGTGTACAGCGTTTTTTTTTTTTTTTTTTCCCAGGAGGTGTGACGTCTTGTTCGGACCAGAGTGCTTCGCCGTCGTACTGCGATTGTTTTCGTCGAGATGTGCGTCAGCAATTGTGTCCATGTTGGTTCAGCGCGCAGACCCCATCGCCGTCCTCTATCTATCTGCAGGCGGCGGCTGTTCCTAGCTTGATGCAGTTATTTAGCGAGGTGCTCGCGTGGCTGGCGGCATTATCGTCGCCGGTGGCCGGTTTGGGTGTGTGTCCGTCACTACAATCACTCGCGATTCACAAGTGTTTTTTCAGCCCTGGGCGTGGGTGAGACGCTTCTCTTTGCAACCCAAGCATTCTCTCTCGTCACCAACGAAACAAACCCTCCCCCCCGCGTGCCACGCGCACACCGGCGAATCTCAATCTCCTTCACATCCTACGAACCTCTCGACAGAGCTACACACACACACACTTTGCTACACGCACCGTTTTTTTTGTTCTTGTGTGTGTGCTCCCCCCCCCTTTTGGTGATGTGAGAGCCTGGTCCGGTGAGAACCTGGTGCGCTCCGTCCCGGCTTTGTACGGATGCGAGGCCAATGGCCTAACGACTACGGCATGCACGGCTATGAGTACACCCTCTTATTCGAGTACACCCCTTCCCCTCCCCTTTTTTCCTTTTCCTTTTGTCTCCAGGGCGACGCGTTCCGATGCGGGGGTTGTCCCTTCCTCGGAAAGCCAGCCTTCGAAAAGGGGCAGGAGAAGACCATCATGCTCTTGGATCTCGACTCCCAGCAGGATGACTGATCTACCTGGGTCTGGGTCTAGTTTTTTTGTGTCGTGTGTGCGTTGTCATCACCAATAAACGCGGCGTTGATGGGATTCTCCGTATTGGCGTTGGGTGCTTGTCTTCCCATTTTGAGAATTAACTTGCCAATAGGTCGTTAGGTCGTTTCATTATCGTAATCCTCAAAAGAGTTCTCGTGTTTGTATGTGGATGGATACTGTGTAGGGGGCTGACCCGCGGTGGCCGGGCTGGGGGCGCATCGATTTGAGTTGATTTTGGAGCTTGATTCACGTGGTTCTTGAAATCCTCTCATTGTTTTCCGTCCATCTTTGTGCGAATGCTGGGCACTGCAACGGTTGGATTCTCTACTCAGTTGGATGATGTTGTGCAGTAGTTCGGTTTTCTGGGGTGATCGGATATCGGGTTGAGCTACACATTTTCCGCCTGTACAACGAAGAGGTTGTGATTCCTGTGATGGCTAAGTGTGGGTGCTGTTTTTCTCACCAGGGTCTTTGGCGGCACCTATTTAACATGGAAAACTTGTCGGGCGCGGTTTTGGTTCTGACCCGTTTCCTGGCAAGTACAGAATGAACCATTCGAACGTAGTCGCTTGCAGAACGAAAGCCAGAACGCTTGCAAGGGGAACACAGCCAGACGTCCATGTTGTTGGTGTGAGAGAGAGCTTGCGCTTCCGCGCTGCACATGGCAACACCGACAACCGTAGACTTTAGGGCGACACGACGCCTTTCAACCGCCTCTTTGAGTCTTAAGCACCGAGGACACAACTCATGCATGCAAGCAAACCTGCGATATTTTCGACGCGGGCGATGGTGCATGCATCGCCCTTCTTTTAACACCGACGCAGGGATGCAACACCGCCTACAGAGGGCTCATCGTCGCGCACCATACGTTTTTGCGTAGTTTGTGCTACATCTGTTCATTTTTCTCTCCCGCCACTACAACTAGCTTGTTGTCGGGGGTGAAGAAAAAGGTGGCATTTTTTGTCTCTTTGAAAACGGACTCTCGCGGCAATGTCTACGCCATCGATCATCTCTGCTAGACTTTTTGTCCACATCCAACCGCTTAGGGCCGAGGGGTTCCAATGGTTCCTTTGGGCCTGCGTTCGTGCTCTCTTTTTCTTTCTTCCACCCCACGGTCGTTCTCACAAGAGATCGGGAAGACATCCCTTCTCAACTCGAAAACGGGCAAACCAATGGCCAGCGAACGCATAGTCTTAGGTGTGTGTGCGATCGATGTTTTCTTGAAGCTCAGTTGCCGTGGTTACCGTCGTACATACTGTCGCCTTCTGTTCCGGAGATTTGCACTCTCTCTCGTGTCTTCGCGCTTGGCTGCAAGTCCGAGAGGCAGTCTCTTGGAAAGGCATAGATTAATTGAAAGATATGCCGCAGCGGCAGGTGTAAAGACAGTTCGCATTCAACCACCTTCGTCATCAGGAGGTCCATGTCGACTTCGGATGTTCGAGATGAAATTGGCAATCACACCTCGGTGGTGAGTGAAGTGAACGAGATGCCAACGGCCCCCCTCGACCAGCAGCGAGATCGTTCGTCATTTTTGTTACATGTAGAGGGTCACGCTATGTTTTGCAGTCCTCCTCTTCCCCATGTGGATTGCTGAGTTCGTACGAAAAAGAGTAGCCCAGCGATTGGACTCCAACGGCACGAGAACTTTCCAGGGAGTAAGAAAATCCATATCTCAGCGCGTACGCTTGCATGTGAGCAGAGGCCAAGATGAGCTGCATCATTGGTTTGGTATAAATGCCACAAGCAAGCAAGGTGAGAAACCAGAGCTTGGCCCTAACTTTTGGGCGGTCACGGCTGTAGCTCCGGCAAGAGATCGCCACGATAACAACAGCAACGCGGCCCATGTACTTTGGTGCGCAATGTCGTCATCGTCTGTTCGCGGTGTGTGTTGGGCTTTCACCAAGCGGCACCCACGCACGAGAATGTTTTTTGAAAAAAGACGGCAAAAATATCTTCATCTTCGCAGCAGCAATGGAGACATTTCCGGGATTTTTCCCATCCAGTTCGGCAACGCACCTCGGAGCAAAGCAGCAGCAGCGTATTTCATTTCAAGAACGCGGGACACAGCAGATGGAAAAGAACCAGCTCTCCATCAAAAGAGCTAATCCTCCGTATCGCCAGGGAAAAACATGGCACTACATGGCGACATGTTTGCAATCATGAATCCGCGTAACGCCCTCCCTCCGAGACGCGGTAACGAGCTCGAGAGAGAGAGCGCGGCCTGGGTCCAATCTCGAGAACGCTCTTAGGACCGCGGCTTCTCCTTCTTGTCCTTGTAGAGGGCCAGCAGCGCGACACCGGCCACCTTGACCACCTTGAACCGGACACCGGGGATGTCACCCACGGCGTGACCGCGGCGACCGAATCCGGAAATGAGCACCTCGTCCTGCAAAAAAAATAAAATGTCAAACGGGTTTTATTGGCACTACGCATCCAGCACTGATCTCGGTGCGGGATGATCATGACAATACCCACTAACAAGACACGACTCACCTTGCACGTGACTGGACAAGCGCGGTCGGGCGAAATTCGCTATTTTCTTGTAAAAAGTTGAATAAATTGCAGGACCATATGCACATGAACAAACAGGAGAAAAAACAAGAAAATAACAAAAATAACAAATTCACCCGTGGAGTTGATGTCATTCGCACTGCAATAGAAAAAAAAAAAAAACTCACGTTCTCGTCCGTGAAGTTGAGGCAACCGTCGCGCGGCACGAAGGCCGCCAGCTTCTTTCCGTTCTTGATGAGCTGCACGCGCACGCACTTCCTGATGGCAGAGTTAGGCTGCTTGGCCTCGATACCGCTGCAAATTCACGCAGGAAAAACAGAGTGCATTGTTTTCGTATAAGATTCTGAATCATAAACAATTGGATTCCAGCACCCAAGTGGGGGTGGGCTCAATAGAGACTAGACGGGATAAGAATGGGGGAATATAAAAGGAGTTGCGAGTGCTTCGAGAAGGACGGCAGTAGGAAGCACAGGGGGCAGGCAGGTCAGCGAAAAGGCGGCTGAACCAGCACATAAACCTGGCCCGTCTTTTCGACGGGGTCACATGGGATTTAGGCATGTGCTCAGCGCCGTGGAGGTGGTCCCGCAGTGATGCGCGCCCTGTGCGTATACTACCTACTCAGAGTATACATCATGACCATGACCACGAAGTACAACAGTGTAAATTCCTTCAGACACAGAGCATCGCGGAGCGACCTGTATGCCGCCATACCGCACAACCAAATACACTCGTCTTAAATCACCATCTTCGGCAGTCTTTGGTGTGCGTGTACCATGAGAGAGCGTGCGGGGGGAGGGAGGGGTAGCGAGAGGCCCCAGGACTAACTCACATCTTCTCCAACACGATGCCCTTGGCCATGGAAGAACCACCGAGGGGGTTGGCCTTCATCGCGGTCACCGAGTGGGACTTGTTGTAGTCCTGGCAAACACAAAAGACAGAGACGGACAGCAAGGAACGAGACGCAGACGGAAGAGAAAGTAGGAGAGAGAGAGGCCGGTCGGAGAGGGCGGGCGGAGGGGTTAGGATTTACGCGGCTGGGCATGGTTGTAATATACGAAGTAGTTCTCAATAATTTCTACACGCGATTCGTACAACAACGAGGCGAGCAGGTGGGCCACAAGCAAATCCCGGGTGCCCTCATGGTTGTTGGTGTCGGCGTCACCCATTCAGTCCCGGGCAACAGAGTGCCCCTCGATGCTGTTTCTAAAACGGCGTCAATCGCCAGAGAAAGCCCCCCCTCAAGAGCTGCTATCTCATCCCTTTGTTTCTCTCTCTCGTCAATCGCCAGAGAGAAAATGCACATGTGGTGCCCCATAAAATAACGTTGATGTGCGGCTCTTTCATACACGCACCAACGCCCTCAGCTCAGTGGCTCATCAGGTGCGAGCACGGCGTAGCTACAAAGGTTGTGCTTGAGACATTTTTTTGTACATTTTGGGCGTCGGACATTCTTCAGACGTCTGCCTCCCTGTTGACACTGACAGCATTTTCTCGCTCGTCACCCACTGCAGGCGGTCGATGCAAACAAGACACACAGACCGAGCAGCAGTTTTCTGTCCGTCTACAACGCCTTTTCATTAGTCAGCCGGCTAGCGCGGGTGATGCCAGCGAATGTAAGCGCACAAAGTCTTGCAACTTCCTTCCAATCGACCTGCCCATTCGAGGATGCGTGTCCTCTTCTCGAGCATGTGCATGTCGTCGTCAAGACACCACACGCGATACAGCAGTACTCTCATTTTCCTCGAGGTTCGCCGGGTGTGCGTATTCACACGTTAGGCTGATTGGTGACGATACACTCAGCGGCTGTCCAGCCTCGCACGCATGTTTATTTTGGTTGGAGGTGGGAACATTTTTCTAGCCTTGCCCCCAAACACCGACGACCGCCTCAGGGGCACGTGTTTTCGTTTCTGTTGAGGATACCCCCCCCCCTTCTGGACAGTTAACCACTGCGGGGCGTTCGTCATTTATCGACTCTGAAGTCTCCCCTCCTCCGCTGGCCACCAACTTTCAGCAGATCACGTTAGGTTATCACAAGATGAAAAAAATCACGTGACCCTCTCACCCCCCACCCCTCTCCCTGCCGGGGGAGCCCGCGGACTAAAAACGTGTCCGCGCGTCCCCCCTCTTTACGACCCACGTCTGTTCATTGAACAGCCAGGTAGGGCCCGTCAGAAAACAACAAATGAAAGCAAGAAATACATTTCGGAGAGGGCCAACCTTAGAGCCGCGCGTTGAGAGGTTTTGTGCAGGAAACGATCATGGTCGTGGAAGTGGCAATCAAGCTGTAGATCGGTCCTCTTTGTCCTACGACAAAGACAAACGCAGTGGATCGCCAAATAAAAAGTGGCCATGTTCCCTGTGAAGGCCACATTCTACGTTTAATTAAGAATGTATCCGCCTATACAGTTGCTTTTGTTGTTAGCACCAACTGGCATCACTGATAACTAACTCAGTGTTAGGCTTACACAACCTCAAAATAAGCCAAGTCTCCAGTCGGTTTCAGTGCACTTACTGAAAAGACTTCACCACATCCCGTTCGACTGAGGCTATATCTCGAACGGGTAGTCTTTCTGTGAGGTTATGTTTACCTTCTAAAAAGTGGCCAATCGCCTTCGAGTTCGTTACTCATACCCAAAGTACACTCTGGGGCTGGACAAAGGGTATCCCGTTCAACCTGTGTTTCTGTTATTATCGGTGTGTTGGATACACCCTTGCTGCCGAGGCGCGACGCGAATCGAGCGCATGGCAACAGCAGTACCACACAGTCGTTGTACCTTCTTTTAAGGATACTAAACACTGGAGTAGCTGTTTTCGTGCATCTCCAACCGCTAGTTGTTCGCTACAACAGAAGCACGTGTCCTTTTATAAGCAATGCATCGCATCGATCACACTTTTTGCACGCACACAGCAGACGGACAGTGGTAGCAAGCATGCCTGACACAGTACTCTGGCTTCTGTAAGGAGGACATCCCAAACTGCAGTGTAAGGCAGGCGTCCTGATGTCCAGACTGCTGTGACGGCACGATGTTGTTAAACCTACCTGCGGATTGTCGCCTCTCTTTTGTCCATCAAAACTTGCACACAAAACACGAATGCCCTTTGGCCGAGGGCAGAGATACGAGCATGCACAGTAGCAGAAAAAGCACATTCACCACTGACCTTGCTCGCCCACCGCTCGTTACGGCGGTGGATGCGGAGCTTGCGCCCCGCGCGGATGCCCGCCGGCTTTCCCTTACCCATGCTGTAAGCTGTTCGTTCGTTTCCACCGACCCCCCCCCGTCGATCAAAAGCAGCAACGAAGTAGTCCGACCAAAACACCAGTGGAGGGACAGGGGAGGGAGAGAGAAACGGCGAGATAAGTTAGATAGCCGCCAGGGCGGGATTGCTTTTGGGGAAACAGCAGGGAGTAGGGTCGACGGCACACACACACGCCTTTGCGTGCCTCCTTGACGTCGAATTGGTAAATCGAGGAAAGGTTGTGCAAAATACAGCAGTGCAAAGGCGTTTGGAGTCAACCGCGGCCGATAGATCAGGCAGTCGTTTGAAGCAACGATAGAACCGTCCATAAGACGTAGCATTCACACGGGGCTAAGTCCAACATGGTGGAGAATGGTGCGCCGTCTAAGGTGCACATGGTGTAGACACGGCTTGACGTTGCTTTGCTATGTAGCGAGAGGAGGGGAGCAGGCAGTGGAGGGAGTCGCACAAACGCGGCGGGCGCGGCGCCCTGCACAGCAGAAGCAGTACACAAGCAGTTGCACACATGATGTCTCCCACACCTCCACCACGAAAGCTCGGAAATCGCATCTCTGAGACAAACCGCCCAACACATCGCCACCCTGCCCCTACGCTCCCCCGCCCAAGCACAGCCATGCACCCCCACGAGATCTGCTGTTCCAGCACTCTCCTTACCCCAACACACGTAATAGGATCACCATCTCTAGTTCCTCGTCACATCAATCTAACATACCTTCAGGCAAACAGAAATCTCACCTTGAGGATAAACCTAGTTGCCCGGTGGCAAAGGTTTGAAGGTTTGAGGCCTCGGAGATGTTGGTGCCGCTGCTGCTGACTGCTGCGCCTCGTCCACACACCAACAAAAAAAATGGGGTTTCAGTGTATTGCGGGAGGCCTGTAGTTTGGGGGCTGTCTCGAGGGGATGGGGGATCAACCGTTTCACTTTTTTTTCGGTCTCACTCCGTCCCGACGACCGACGAGGAGATGGAATGATATACACATTACACATGCATGCATAGTCACGGACGGAAGGAGTCTAATGCTGGTGGGGGGAATCTGCTGTGAAGGCAATAGTGCTGGACACGTAATGAAGGTTTCTGATGACCATCGCTCTTTGTATGCATATTTACAGTAGTTGTGCACGGCGTGGCGTGGTTCATGTGTGCATCCTCTGTACCGTTTACCCCTTCGCGCTGTAAGCTAGAGTCTGGCTCTGCCCCGACACACACCAGAAGGCGCCCTCCGAAGAGCTACGAGACCGCTGCATGGCAGCACAGCACAGCATTCACACAATGGCCACCTCCACTCTTGGTTGTACGATGCAGATTGTTTTTTTGGTTGGCGTGGTCATGTACGCTGTTAGTAGTCTACAGGTGGGTGGTGAGAGCGCCGCTTCCGAGACTACCCACAGTGCATTTATTTGCGATGACGAGGCACGAGACAAGTCATCCGAACGTCCGAACGATGTGTTCATTGCTTTCGCTGGATAGTTCTCCACGCACAACATGCGCTCGTGCAGCTTTCAGCGGCACCCGAGCTTTACGCCGCTGCTAAAAGTGTGGATGAGCGGAGGAAGTTACACACATCTCGTTTTGCAATCATGGTCGATGGCGCTGTACCGATCACTAGCCTTCTTGTCGAGGTTCCCCCGGACTTGTTTTTCTTCAAGTCTTTGGTAGTCGTTGGTTGCATGCATACGTCTACTCAGTGCTGGTCGCTGACAGGCCGACAAGTGGTGACCAACTTCCTTCCCAACGCTAGCCCGACTATCCTGAGGGTCACCGCGTCCCATCGTTCGTGTAAAGCGGTTTAGGTTTTCCAGCGGATTGTAGACTTTCGATTGGGTTCACACAGCTGTGATCGATAACGGATACGGGAAATGCGTACGTTTCGTCGACCATCACACGTGCTGATAGGAGACTTCAGCGACGAACTGCGACAAAAATTTCTTGTATCCCTCCCGTGGACGCACGCGCCACGGGTATTCGCAGTGTATGTACGTGCACACAATAAAGTGTATGCCAACAGCAGTATCTGACGGCTTTTCACGATATTTCACGACGGATTCGAGGTCGCAGCTCATGGGTTCGTGCTTCCTTAGGCGCACTGGACGTCGCGAGGCAGCCAGATAACCCGTGAACCGTTGATCGACTACTGCTGAGAATTGCCAGCAGCGGGTGAGGGTTTGTTCAGGCTCGTGCTGGTGCGGTGTATTCCTTGAGCGCGACCGGGGCAACTATCATCACACAAAGAAACTCTCCTGGCGAGGCCTTGCCCATCGATGTTCACCACTCGAGCAGGTATGGCCCATTTCGGTCCAAGGACTTCATAAAGACCACAGGTTGGGTGGGGCAGCGAGACGGTTATTCTAACGGAAAATAGCCACATGTAGACTCGTGTTTCACACGTGAAGGTAGAAAAAGACGGTGATAATGCAGGTAAAGGCTAGGAATTCTTATTCTTCTACGTACACACCACAAGGCACGCGGCAGTACTGTGGCGTACAAATCGAACACCAAGGAGTTATCGATCAGGCTCGTGAGTTGTCAGCGCTCGCGAACACGAGCAAGTTACGAGGTGAAATGCTAGAGGACCTCGCACTGCTATTCATACACATCGTGCGTTGTTGAGAGATGGGACGTGCCTCGAACACCCAAACCTTTATTCTGCCCACGTATCCAAGCGCAAACAAGGCGGCCAATACAGTACGCCCCGGCTGACGTCTTGCCGCTCTCGCGGACTTCGGAAATTCGTTTTTCGCTTACCCGCTGACTTCACGCACCAAACTAGAGGACGTGTCATTTTGGGACATTTTGGGTATTGGGATGCACGCTCGGACTGTCGGTGAAGGGAGGAACATGACCGCAAACATAATACTATTAGAGTGGATGCGGGAAACACCTGCCGTAGGGCAGGAGATGCCTCGTCCAATTCAAAGCTTGTTTTTAAGGGTCTAAACAGGAGGGAAGAAGAAGCAAAGAACGGATGTGGCATAGGCTGACGCAAGTTTAGGCGGGCGCGGCTGCTAGCTCGGGGGTAAGGTGTGATGAGGAAAGACAAGAGATGAGAGAGTAGCAGATTGTTGTATTAGCGAAGTGGCGACGGGGTTTTCACCCGCTGGGGCGAAACGGAATCGGGTTCGTGGGGAGGAAGGAAACAGGGCGAGCGATTGAGGTTTTTCGGGGGAGGTCGGCAGAGAAAATGGTGCGAAGGGGGCTAGGGGCAGGTGCGGCAAGGTCAAAAAGGCGAGACCGACACCTGTAACGTAGAGGAGTGTACACGGTGGGCGCTACGAAACATGCAGAGGGGCAAGCGCGGTGGTGGGTGGCTTGGCTGTATTTTAGGGGGGGTGGGGAGGGAAATGGAGCATCTGGCTGGGCACGAGAATGGAAGATTGGGGTGCTGAAAGGGAGGGCTCGTGGTTGAATTCAGACAGTGTCAGCTTTCGTGCTGCTCTGATGGTGCTTAGCCACGAGCCGCACGGCCGGGGGCGGCAAGTGGGACGGGCTGAGGGGGGGCTAGTATGGTGTGGCAGGCAGGGTTGCGGCAGACAGCACAACGTAATATCACTGCAACTGACGAAAAACAAGTTGCACATGCATGGTGCAACACACATGGTGCAACACAACAGGGGAAAATCGAACACAAGACATTCCATCACGCTCGATTCAACATATAATACCTACATAGGCATGATGCGGGCAAACTTGACGCTAACCCCGCAATTATATCAGAAGCGGAAACATGAGCGTCACATGTTCATCCATCATTCTCTGACACAACACGTCCGCGACAGCACGTAAGGGGGGAAACAAGGACTAGCTCCAAGCTCCTGCTCGTCGCCTCACCTCTCCATTGCAGAGCTCGCGCGCCAACAACGCTTCGTACTGTGCGGAAACACGCCGACCCGTTCGGCGGGGCCTTGTTCTGCTGGACACCCATATACCGGAGGGTGTTCTTCCTCGGTCCAGCCTTGCTTTTTGAGGAAGACCTAATGTACAACCAAACACACCTCATATCTTACGCGCGGTTGTGTTTTCACCGCCTTGCCTCACGACCACGAGACACATTGCCCTTGGAAGTATGGTCGATACTATGTACGGAAAGTTTGATTTGAGAGAAATGTCACTCCAAGTACAACGCAATACAAACGCTGCGCTAAACAAGTGGTAGCAAAAAGAAAACAGAACCAGCCCTCGACGAATCAGCATCACCAACAGCAAGGAGACTTGCAAGAATTGTTGTACATCACAGTCGCCGTGGACTTGAGCCAGAAGTGCCGCGCCACGTCACACTTGACCACGTAATTCTCCCATGGGAACTTTCCCCCTGTCTTGTTCATCGAGTCGGCAGTGATTGCTATCGCAGCCAGCTCTTCCACCTCGTCCTCAAACCAGCAACATGTACATAGAACAGAGAAGTTTCAGTAGTACCAGGCCTTCGCGCGATGCGTCCGTCGTGCATGAGGTTTAGCCTTCAAGACACCTTCCGCAATTGTGCACGAACCTTGTCTCGCACACGCTCCAAGAGGTCCTGAGATCGCGTCTTCGTGGTTTCCCCAAACCTTCTTCGTAAAGATTCTGACAGCCCTTTCCAGCAGTGGAAGTGCCTCTGTGTATTCCTCCTGTGGACGATTGAGATGTAGGGCTGACAAACTAAATCGAGTGCGCCAAACTGCATACACGAAGGCTTGGGGGTGAAAACACCGATTCGTTCACCAGGTAGGACACACAAGCCGTGGTGGAAAGCAAGCGGTTCGGCCAGATTGTGAAACAATGCGCATCGACATGTGAGGGATTCCACGCCAACAAGGCATCACATTGGTGTCGTCGAAGATTCTGCAACTTGTCGTCGAAATTTCCTTCAACAAGTACGCTGACGTCAGGAAATTCACGGTAAGATCATGAAACGCCTGCCCTGCCTGCTTGCCCAACGACGTCTCGACAACGCTACAAAGAAATCCTGGAAAGTTCCTTCGACTCTTACCCGGGCTGCCAACAACCCCGCCCGGTTGTTGAGCGTTGATGCATAGTTAGGGTGTTCTTGGCCTACCGTTGCACCCAGAATTTCGAGCGCCCGGACGTACAGAGGATCCGCCTCGTCGTGCTTGCCCTGGCGTGGAGTCGCACACAGCCGAGTGTTATCTATAGTGCAATCAAATCGAGATGTACATCACTCTTCAATCACGCCCATTCGGTGGTTGAGCGCCCTGTGGGCCACATCCGGGCGCCCCATGCCCAGCACCTTCCCTCGTGTAGCTTATGGGCGCCAATAGAGTTGTTCGGTCTCAGCACACGTGCCATGATAGGTGGTGAATAGTGCCAAGGAGAGACCAATGTTACTCAATTGAGATCTAGAGGTGGGGAGAATTTACTGTGCTCTAGAAGAATCTAGAGGCATCGTTTGGCTCTCACCTGGCTCTCCAACAAGTTCGCCCAACCGTTGAGCGTTGTGGCCAACCTCGGATGCTCCGGACCTAGCACCTTCTTACTTATGGCTTGTGACCGTTCATAGAGCGACTTGCCCTCAGCATACTTGCCCTTGCATGCAGTCCTACACAGCGCGGCAGAGATATATTCATAGTTCAGTCAAAGTGGGATCCTCAACTGGTGATAAAAGACTTTCGTAGCCACGCCCGCCCGAGTGCTTTGCGCCTGGGTCACATCCGGGTGCTCAAGCCCCAGAACTTCCCTCGCAAGGGTTTGTCTCAGCACGTGCGCCATGATATGTGAACAGCGCAGCAGAGAGTCGGAATCCAGTCAAATTGATATCTAGAACTTCGGAGGAGCTTTCCTTCTATTTAGAAACATGTAGAACAAGTGCTTGCCCCTCACCTGGCTGGTCAACAAACCCGCCCAATCGTTGAGCGTTGTGGCCACCTCCGGATGCTCCGGACCTAACACCTTCTCTCGAATGGCCTGCGACCGCTCGTAGAGTGGCATGGCCTCGGCGTACTTGCCCTGGCATGCAGTCGTACACAGCGCAGCAGAGATGTGTGCATAGTCCAGTCATAGTGGGACCTACAACCGCTGAAAGACAATTCCTCAATCACGCCCGCCCGTAGTTGAGCTCCTGCGCCAAATCCGGGTGCTCCAAGCCCAGAGCTTCCCCCCACTTGGCTTGTGACCGTTCACAGAATGGCTCTGTCTCAGCACGCGCGCCATGATATGTGGTAAAAAGCGCAGCAGAGAGTCGGCTGCCAGAGTCAATAGAAGATCTGCGACTGCAAGAATCAATGCATAAAGGCATGCCTTGGCTCCCACCTGTCTCTGCAATAACGACGCCCACTCGTTGAGCGTTGTGGCCACATCCGGATGCTCCCGACCTAGCAACTTCTCTCGTATGGCCTGTGATCGCTCGTAGAGTGGCTCGGCCTCAGCGTACTTGCCCTGGCATGCAGTCGTACACAGCGCGGCAGAGATCTATGCATAGTTCAGGCACACCGGGATCTACAATCAAAGAGAGAAACATTTCCTCAACCATGCCCGTCCACGTGGCTTGCGCCTGGGCCACATCCGAGTGGTCTAGCCCCAGAACTTCCTTCGCATGGCTTGTGACCATTCACAGAATGGCTCTGTCTCAGCACACGCGCCATGACATGTGGTGAACGGCGCGGCAGAGAGTCGGAATTCAGTCAAATTGACACCAAGCACTAACTGCGCAACAAACCTTCTCTACTAGAATCTAGAGGCCATCGTTTGACGCTCACTTGTCTCTGCAACAACGACGCGCGATCGTTGAGCGTTGTGGCCACATCCGGATGCTCCCGACCTAGAACCTTCTCTCGTATGGCCTGTGGTCGCTCGTAGAGAGGCTCGGCCTCAGCGTGCTTGCCCTGGGGTGCAGTCGTGCATACCACGGCGGGCATGTATTCCTAGTTCAGTCAAAGTTGGACCTACAACTGGGGACAAAAACATTTCTCAACCACGCGCTCCAGTGTGTTTTGCGCCTGGGCCACATTGTGGTGCTCCATCCCCAGAACGTCCCTCGCAGGGCTTGTGGCCTTTCACGGAGTGGATTTGACTTGGTTCTTTGGCCGTGATATGCGGTAAACAGGGCGGCCGAGAGTCGGAATTCAATGAAATAGAGATGTACAGTTGCAGAGAAATTTATTCTTCTGGAAGTATCTGGAAGCACCACAAGGTTCTCACCTGGCTCTGCAACAAGCACGCCCGGTCGTTGAGCGCTGCCGCAACGCTCGGATGATCAGGCCCAAGGGCACGCTCGAACGAACAGACTGCTTCCTTCAACAGAGGAGCCGCCTTGTCCAACAACCCCTGCTTCGTGTACAAGTCCGCTACACAAGCGCGGGACATGATCGTGTCCGGATGATCCACCCCCAGAGCACCTTCTCTGATGGCCAGGGCTCGTTCAAACAATCGATGCGCCTCGGTGAACTTTCCCTGAACGCACACAGTACGTACGTGTGTTCGCAAAAAAGCGATTGCTCAACAAGCTAAAACTTGGGCAATGCAAGTGGGCATTGCCCTGAATGGTTTCCTGAACCACGGACGTATGCGAAACAACAACACAACAAGTATCCCCATCGCCATGTGTTCCACCAATGGTGTGGCAGGGTTTTGAACATCCACAAGCATCCGGAAATTACAGACCGTCTGGTGGCAGGGTTTTGAACACCCACAACCAAGTATCCCTGTTCGCGATCACGATTCGACAAAGGGGGCTTCACGAAAACATCAACATTCACCACGACAGATCAAAAACAAGAGGGGAGATAATAGCAACAACTGACCTGTACCAGACACTTTCCGTCGTTGAATCACGACTGGTCTTTGCCAGATTTTGTTGCGCACCAATGCCTCAACAAACAACACGGTGGGTGCAAGATCGCCCCCGCATGGGGGTTTACTCCCCTTGCTCTGCCAACACTTCCATGCCGCACGTCGTCCCACATTTCTTCCAGCATGTCAGACGGTGCCAGCGTCCCCGGGGCGACTACCGCCAGGAACAGGCATCTCTTCCGCTTGGCCGGGTCGTCTGCCATGGCGCCCAAGCTCAATTCCAAGACAGCATCTACTCGTTCCGGCACGGTCATGATGCGGTCGGTCCCCAGCCGTGTCGCCATCGCTTTGTGCAAAGCCTCATGAAAAAAAGCTCGCCAGGAGTTGGGATCTTGTGGGGGACCCATGAGCAGCGGCGCCGCGAGGCCAAGAGAGAGTGGGAGCTTCCCACTGTCACCAACGACCTGGTGCGAACGGGGCGGACGCGTTCGTAGCTGAATCGATGCGGCCTAGGACGACCGCACAAAATAATATAGCACCGCCTCACAACCTAAACGCAAGGGACCCATAGACCATTCGTGCCAGAATTATCGCTGTTGTTCCGAACAGTGTAGGACGAAAGGCAACCAGCTGGAGCAAAGAAATCTGTCCGCAAAAAGAAATCGATTCGAATGTCCAGGCGGTCACCTGCAACGCCTGAGCACGCGGAAGGTCGAGGTTCTTGGGTGCCCCGCAACCGACTCTCAGCACCCCCAGCGCCTCATCCTCCTGCATACCCCCCACCTCTACGCACTCTCCTGGCATCGATACCACCGAACGGTCGCGCGTGGTCACCAACAGCTGCATCCCCGTAAGCTTCAGGGCGTCAACGACCTCCCGCTCCCACACGTCGTCGAGCACGACCAATCGCGGGGACACGGCGTCCGTACATATCGCTTTCAGGTGACACGTCGCTTCTTCCGCGCTGCGAAGGACGGGGGAAATAGTCCCTGAACTTGATGCCACTCGCAACACAAGGCCTTCCAAAAACTCTTGGAGTTGATCCTTCTCGTCACGACCCACCCTCCACCAAAACATTCCCGCATGAAAGTGCTCACGAACCTTTTCATCCCGTACAACTGCGGACGCCAGGACCGGCTTTCCCGCTCCGGCCATGCCGGTCAGCACGCAGGGCGCGTATCCCAGAGCCGTCTTCGTGAGGTAAACAACGGCGCTCCGGAGTAATGAAGGCCGCGAAACGTGGGCATCGGTCAGGGAGATTGCGCCGGAAGGCACTGCGGCCATAGACGGCAACGTCGGCGCAATTGGCGAAGCACCACCAACCAAAGCTGGTGGTGCTCCAGCCCGTCCACGCCCGTCCACCAAGGCGATGTCGTCGCTGACCCTACGGAGACCCTCCTCGAAGCCGGTGAGAGTGATTCGGTCGGCGCGGTGGCAAAATTATGCCCTGCACTTGCCGCCCTTGGCCCACTTCGCCGTAAACGCCGCCAGCTTGTTGGTCATGGTGGCGAAGTCCTTCATGGGCTTCTGCACCTGGGCGAGGGGACCAACCCCTCGGTCATGCTGCATCAAGACGGTGGTGAGGAAAGCGCACCGGGATATCAGCCCCTTGAGCTTGTCCTGGCATTCCGCTGCACCTTCGACAGCCTCGATCAACGACTTGAAGGCCTGGCACACGGGAACCAAGGGCCCTACGCTCGCAGCGTCGAGCACCCCAACTGCAGTTGTCGTCATCCATCCCAGGGCCTCGTGGGCGGGGGTGGGGCAAGCCTCCCACTCCTCCGTCGCTCGAGCAGCGATGGTCAGAAAGGCCGGCCAGGGCTTCTTTTCGGCGAGCAGGGTACCAACAACGTGATCAAGCCGCTGCGAAGGGGAGGGAGGGAGGAAGGTCAAGCACGAAACAGCTCTTTCTGAGTTCGATTCAAGGACTGGACATGGTTGGACATGTGTTCCGATCAAATCCCTGAAAGCGTGTATTTCGTTAGAAGATGAGACGCACCTCCGTCGCGGTGGGCTCCACCGCTGCTACAAGGCCCGCTTGGCCTCCACTGGCGGGAGCATGCTGCATTCCCGCGGCCGTTTACTGCCGCTGACAATGGCCTATTGTTGAGCGTCAACAATAACACGAGGCAGAGCGGTACCACATGCGGACGAATTCATTGTCGTAAAGGGGGCGTACATTTGTGCATACATCAGTGAACATGTGCATGCACACCGGCAGAGGTGTAGTTTGAGGGAACCGTCAAGCTATGACACGTTCGATAAGACTATTTGCCACGACAATCGCATGCTGCTGCTCTACGTTCAACGCGTGAACAACTTGCCGGTTCATTTCGTGCTGTTGTGTTGCAGCATCAACGTTGTATCATAGATCACCTACATCTTCAAGGATGCTCCGAAGTGCTCCCAACTTCGTCATCAACTCAGCATCAGCATGGAAAGCGTAGTGCTGCAAACAGCAATGGCATAGTGTATTTTAAGCAAGATCGCAGGCGCACATGAGCCGCAAGCCTTAACTCAACTGAACTTCGGTGAAGTACAATTTAGAAAAGGAAAAACGAACACTTCTTCGTTCGGCCTTCGGCGGAAAAGAAAAAAAAGAAGATGAACGGCATTCAACCCAGCCAGCTGGTTAGCCCACTCACGGCAACATGTCAGCGGTTGCAATTTGCGCTCGCGCAAATTTTTGGGTTTCGCGCAAATTTTTGGGTTTCGCGCAAATTTTTGGGCTTCGCGCCATGCACGTGCTAAATGGCGACCACAAGGAACGCTCTAGCTACATCTGCTGCAGAGTTCTCAAGATTGCAAGATTGCACCAAAGTTTCTGTGAGATTTGTGTACTTTCATTGGTATTCTGTCTCAGACTCTTTTCTATGATAGAGATGGATTCGTTGTGTCATATTAAGAAAAAAATAAAATAAAATGAAAAGGATGAAAGATTAAGATTTGCTGTCGGCGGAGGGACTCCACGGTCAAGCAATTTCTTCAACTATTTTGTCACCTGATCGCACGCTCGATTTGCAGGCACGGCGGACGGGCGGTTCAGCGGGAAACTGTCGCTCTTGAGGACAAAGCATACACTCTGGCCTGCTGTTGTGTGCTAAGTGTGGCGTGGTTGCCGCGGGTGAGGAGCATGCGAGCTATCTTGTATGTGTTGGTATGTACGCACGCATGTGACTCGGCGGCCCCGTAGATTCATTCCAATGTGGACACCTACCCCCCATCCGTTTTTTTTTTTTATGGGACACATGTTCGATGTGGACAGCGGATCGCTGGATCAGGTTTCTGTGTTCGTGTTCAACGACCATCTCCTCCTGCCTTTGAGGTGCTCTGTTGTGGTGTGGTTGGTATGTGACCAGCAGAAGTCGCAACCCTCCGCCCCGCCCACCACCTCAGTACTTACAACGAGTAGGCCTAGCTTAAAAGGCAAAAACAAAAAGCTGCTGCGTCCTGTGGGACCGTAGGTTGCTCTCTTTCCCATTTGCCAAACGCAAGCAACGAACGGGTGCACCAGTCGATGTAAGATGTACCGTAAGGTTGCGAGTCAGCGCACAGGGGTGCGAACGATTTTCAAAGCGTAATTTCTCCACAACAAGGAGGTTACCACTGTCGAATAGGGCGGTCTTGGAAATATCTCATCGAGAGCTTTCCTTCTGAAAAGTATCAGTTGGCGCTCGCACCCTCCTGGTTGTGGAGAAATTACGCTTTGAAAATCGATCGCACTCCTGTGCAGCTGACCTCGCAACCTTACGGTAAGCTCAACAGCGGTGTTGTCCAAAACGAAGTCTACACACGAATTTCAGACATGTACCCGGAAAATCCACGTCGGGACGACCTGCTGCACATGGGCGCAAAGAAAAACATTCATCATTCGTTTACGTATTTGTAGTTACAACGAACGCATCATGGTGTGCAAAGCAAGTTGTTTACATAGCCCTCGTCCTCACCTCGCCCTGCTCATCATGAAAAGCACTAAATGCCTAAACGTATGCTAGAGACTACAACTATCCACGTGGTACCCGTAAAACAAGAACACGGGCGGGCGCGAGTTGGCTACTAACGGAACCCAATCTCTTCCACGCACCACCCACCACCGGCTCCTGGTCAGGTTTTACCAAGTACACGTCATCCAGCGCCCAGCGCACTTACTTCGTTTGTCCACCCAACTGCTGCTACGCTGCACTTTTAAATGTACAATTGCCATGCAGTACATGAAGTACTCCGCTCAGTGCTCGTGATGGCGATCCGACGTTATTAACAGGTGTTCCAAGAATGCAAGAGAGAGAGACAGAGAGAGTGTGTGTGTGTGTTCGCGACAATGAAACTTCATGTCATCATAACAGCGGGCATAGACTATGGCTGCGGACAACAGGTGAGAGGTCGACGAATCACTAGGGTTCGGGTGGTGTATAGACTAGTGCGTGTGTGTTTGTTTCATCAGCATCGACCGTACTAGCCGGCTGACCCTGGGCTGACCAATGACATGGCGTCAGTCTGCAGCACAAAAAAGCACGAACCGGCTTTACAAGCATCGACCTTCAGCGCCTGGGGGGGGGAGGAGCAGGTTGTGGGCGTGGGGGGGAAGGATCGCGACAGTGAGGGGAGGTTGGAACCTGGAGGAAAAATACGGCAGAAAAAGGGAGAGCTACTGGAGAAAATAATTGCATGGAGTAGAGCGCAGCGGAACCAATGGTGTCGTCGTGCGGGGATCGGGAGGGGGGTGCAAGCTGAAGATTTCGAGGAAACGGCGGAACATGGGGTGGAAGTGGAAGGTTGGAATGTGATGGACGACACTAAGGTGGTGGCTGGGGGTGGGGGGGACTTTC